GATATAAAATACGTAAGATTATTCATGTTGTTAATGAGAAAACTAATAAAAGGTTAACATATATGTCAAGGAAAAGTTAACACGTCATGTTCGATTTGTCTGTGTTAAAAGACATTTTTTTATTAGTACATTTAGAAACTACTAGCTCATTATAGTTCTTATAACCAATGTCTATTTATCTACAGGTATGTATGATGTAAAAGGCCAAGAATATGAAGCTATGAAAATATATATCAAAGTGTTTCTGTGTGAGATGCAAGTTTACAGTGCAGTAGTGTTTCTATCTTGAGGTTCTTATTTATGCAAAGAACTTTGACAGTAAGAATGGTTATGGTTGTAAGTGATGTACTTTGTTCAAGTGCACCTTTAAGTATCTGTAATTTTGGTAGTAATTATTACTCAGGAAAGTGTTATCAATGTCCGTGATGTATACATTACTAGGGATTTAGTATTTGGTGATGGTTTTATAAGTCACAATTAAAGTACTTTACAGTCTCAAAGTTAATTAAAGGAAAAACAGTGAATATTTCATGTTTATCGAATTTGCGATATAGAATATTAATCATCATTTTTTCTTTAAATGTGTAAATTAAGGTTCTCTAAATCAAGCAGTGAAAAATTTCAATGATATGTTATTCCTTTATGAAGAAAGGATGTACGGTTAGGTTGCCCTTCATGAACAAATATGTTTTATTTGTGTAACCACATAGCCATGAAAGATGTCCATATTTATTTCTCATTAATTACAATGTGCTGAAGAGCCTATAGTAAATATATATTTAAAAGATGTATAAATACGTATGTGACAGTTCCATGTTGCTATAAAACCTAAAAGTAAAAACGAAAACTAGATTGAAAAATATATAATAGATTTTCATACATGCATATCTATCAGTAGTGAAGCTGGTAATGCTAAAGGACCCAAGTTTAAACTAAAAAAAATTCCTAACATATATGTATAGCTTTAAGAATCATTGTATGACCTGACCTATAAAAGCATTCTTCTCTCCTAGCAGAACAGGAGTGTGAGAGTAGGCAGACCTTTTTTCTTCTCCCGATGGTCGGCTGTCCTGTTTCAAGTTATTCATGTGTGTTGTATTTGTTTTTATAAATGTATATGTAAGGCGTATTTTTACACATAACGTAACGTTTTGGGACAACATGGGACCTAATCTCCCATCTCGGCTGTTCAATCCTCTAAACTAAACTAAAACTATTAATAAATATTTTTTTTTTAATCTTAAAGCCGGCCCTTATCATTCGTATACTTATCAAGCTTTCTCATAAACTCACTTAAATTTACTGCCTACACAACATCCGAAGGCAA